AAAAAAAAAATAAATAAAAAATAAAAAAAAATAAAATAAGTCTGATAAAAAGTTGAACAGTTTGCTGGATAATCTAAAAGGCTCGGACATCAAAAATGTACAATACTGCTTAGGAAATTATATTTAGAAGGACTTAACTATATTTATTTTTTACTGCTATTTATTATTATTGATATTTGGTATTGATAGTTTAATATATTTTCAGCTTTTAAGACATGTTCTAAATGATAAATCAAGTAGCAAGTATCTATATCGAGACTGGTTTGTGAATTTATTATTGGAGGATCTTTTTCTGAATATTAATTTTTTTATTTGATTGACAACATAAATTATTTTTTTTCTTCATATTTTAGTAGTATATAAATATTTTATTTCAAATATTTCTAATATTTTCAATAGTGGTGAAATTGAAAATAGATATCAAAAAAATTAAAAGAATTTATCAAAATATTCTAAAGATAGATAACAAATTAGTTGATATCATAACAGAATTCTTATGGTTAATATTAGATGGTATTGAAGAATATATTGGTATTCTTGAGGTTGTAGGAAATGTTATTATTGAAGATTATATAAAGATGATTGTAGATAGGGATAAGATTTTAACAATGATATAACTAGTATTCTTTTAACTAGAATAAATATTGTATAACAATAATATTAGTAATGAGAAACAACTTAAACACAATCTTGAGATATTTGGAATTCTAGTTGATATAGTGCAAGATACTTAAAGACTATATTTGTCCCATTTTCAAAAATTTTATATTGAAATTTGATGTTTTTTTGATTTCTTGTATTCTAATTAGTCAAAAATTAATTAGTAAAAAATATTTTAAAAATAATTTTAAAAATAATTTTAAAATTAGCCAATAGCAAGAAGCCAAAACATGTAACTTGTTCTATTTTTGGTTAAATTTTTATGTATTATATAAAAATACTATATTTTTAAGACTATATATTTTGAAAAGTTATTATAACTTTTTAAAAAATAAGGCTGTTAAGTTGTTATAAATTGATTTAGCTACAAAATAGTGGCTTCCTTTTTAAAATATCTTTTTTAGATCATAAGTTATTAGCTTTTAAAGTTTGTGTAGTCTTTAAGTATCACGCACTGTAGTAAATAATAATTTGTTACATGTTTGTAGTTATTAAATTGTCCTTTTTAAACTGTTTTTAGAATGAGAT